AGAAGGCTAGCTCTAAAGTAAAGAAACAGAAGGCTAGCTCTAAAGTACTTTACTTTACTTCCCCCTGAGGCACAGAGGCACACGCTCTATTCAGCCTCTTCTTGACTGCCTGGCTGACATCCGGGACTGGATGGCTTTAAACTTCTTAAGCTTCAATGAGAAGAAGTCTGAAGTCATGCTGTTCCATCCCAGTGGCTCACTCATGAACCATGACATTGACCTTTTCTCTCTAGCCCCGCTAGAGAAACAAAAGGTCACTAATCTGGGGGTGATAATGGACCCGTCCTTAAAACTCAACAGTCACGTAAACATGATGGTCAAATCCTGTTTTTTTCAGCTGAGACGGCTGCCTAAGCTGAAACCTATACTCTCCAAAAAGAACCTCGAGACAGTGATCCACGCCTTCATAACATCTAGGCTTGATTACTGCAATTCACTTCTGTTTGGAATCAGTCAGTCCTCCATTGCTCGTCTACAACTGGTCCAAAATGCTGCAGCCCGATTTTTAACTGGTACAGGCTATAGAGAGCACATCACGCCAGTTTTGGCCTCCCTGCACTGGCTACCCATTCACCTTCGGATCCATTTCAAAATTCTCATGTATGTTTTTAAATCACTGAACAGTTCCGCCCCATCCTATCTCACTGATCTTCTGCAGCCATATGTCCCACCGCGCTCTCTGAGGTCAGCAGACCAGATGCTTCTCTCAGTCCCAGAAACCCGTCGTAAGCTCAGAGGTGACAGGGCTTTCTCTGTTGCAGGTCCACGACTGTGGAATGAGTTGCCACTGAGTGTCCGGCAGGCTCCCACACTCTCAGTCTTTAAGTCTCGCTTGAAGACCCATTTCTATTCGCTTGCCTTTAACACGGTGTGATTTGTTTTGGTCGGTCTGTTCTCTACTCTGTTGGCCATTTTAGTTAGCTTCTGCTGCTATTTGTATCTGTATTTCTATTTTATGTTTTCCTGTCTGCTGTGCATGTTTGTGTTCTTTTGTACAGCACTTTGGTTGGCCTTGTTGCTGTTTTAAGTGCTATATAAATAAATTGGTATGGTATGGTATGGTAAAGTAAAGAAACAGAAGGCTAGCTCTAAAGTAAAGAAACAGAAGGCTAGCTCTAAAGGAAAGAAACTGAAGGCTAGCTCTAAAGGAAAGAAACTGAAGGCTAGCTCTAAAGTAAAGAAACAGAAGGCTAGCTCTAAAGTAAAGAAACAGAAGGCTAGCTCTAAAGTAAAGAAACTGAAGGCTAGCTCTAAAGTAAAGAAACTGAAGGCTAGCTCTAAAGTAAAGAAACTGAAGGCTAGCTCTAAAGTAA